ATCTTTCTTTGCTCCGTAGCTAACGCCATCTGCAATCTCCCTGCGGAACCCGGCCCATGTGAGGCCTACATGCCCAGCTACTTCTACAACTCGGCCACCAAGAGGTGCGAGGAGTTCATTTACGGCGGCTGCCAGGGCAATGCAAACAGGTTTTCCAGTGTGGACGAATGTCTCAAGACCTGTGGAAGCTCAGGTAAGACAGCAAGAGAACCTCAGCTAGTTGGGTCAGGAGCTGGTCAGAGGGATGTGAATGCAAAGCAGCTGGGGCCACAGAGACGGATCTCCCCTCGAATGACTGACTGGCTGCATCACAGCAGTGCCTAGGGGATCCAGCAGAGACGGACCCCAGCATGCCGGGCGCTGCAGAGACGCGGTGAGAGTCAGCCCTGGCCCGAGGATCTCACACTCTGGCTAGGCAAAGGGAGGAGGGCTGAGGACGAGCGTGTGACAGGAGTCCATGGTACAGCTCGTGCTGGGAGCTGAAACTAAATTGAAGGTCCCTGAGTCCCGGCAGCTGCATCCCAGCCTGCTCCGGAGGCCCCTGGCTAGGGCGTTAATGACAATAACAATCCTGCTGAACACGTCTGTAGCCTGGCACCCAGAACCGCAGACCTGCTGGCCTGGCTCAGAGGAGTCATGCTCGTCTCTGGCCCAGTGGGGCGGGGGCTGGAGGAGCAGGAGTGAGTCCCAGTCTCAGACACTGGAGAAATGGCTCACACAGCTGCCGTGGGTGCCGGGCATTTCCTCTCTAACCCCGGGCGAGCGCCCACGGGCCCAGGTTGCCTTTGCCTCAGGATCCTGGTGTCCAGAAAGCCGAAGCAGCAGCCACCTTCCGGCGTTATTTATTACAAGGCCTGTGTCTCTAGTGATAAGCAGTTGAAAACAGGCCCTGAAATTGGAAGTTTTCCGGCTGTCTTTGGGGAGCGGAGGAGGTCACCCCTGGGGGCTGAGCAGTTCGATTCCTCCGTCCCTGGGGGAGGGGGTACAGGGAGGGAAAGTCCGTTGCCTGACATGACCCCCTTGCCTCAGGCCGGTGTGTCTGCCCGATGCTCTGTAACCCTGTTTCTCTTCCCCTTCGTTTCCAGTGAAAACGGGCAAGTGCCCCACTCCCATCAACCGGGGGGCTGCGAACTGCGATAACTTCTGCTCCACGGACGCTGACTGTCCCGGATCTGAGCGCTGCTGCAGTAACGGCTGTGGGACGGCGTGCAGACTCCCCATAGAAGGTGAGGGGTTCTCCTTCTCCACCCAGTGCCGGGTTTACAAAGACGCCAGTGGCGCCATGGAGCACCCGCACAAGGGGCACCGGCCTGCTCCATTTGCACTGCGCCCTGAGACCCCGCCAGCCACTCGCTTCTCTCGGCCTGCCCGCCGGCCAAGGGCTCCTCTCTGCCCTCTGCCCCCACTCGCCGGTTTCTCTCAGCCCCCTGGCCGGACCCCAGTGCCCCTCCGGCTCCGGGCAGTCTCTGCTTCCCACCACCTGGGGGGCCCTGCCTGTCTCCCCGGAGCTGAACGGCCTGGGACTGGTGCAGAAGCCTGGCCAGTCTCAGCCGGGGGGCGAGGGTGGGGGGCAGTGTGGGGGCTTGGCTGGGCCCCTCCAGGCAGGTGCATCCTGCGGGAGCCTGGCTGGGGCAGGGCCTGGCCTGGCTGATCGCGCCACTCCCGAGGGCCAGAGCAATTCCACGCCCTGGGACCAGCCCTGGCGGCGCTGCCGGCTCAGCCCGGCCCACACAGTCACCTCCCAGCAGGGCCGGTCAGTGCGGCCGGGAGTGGGTCTGTGGGGAGTCTGTGGGGGTGCTGGGCTGTGAGGGGGCGGGGAAGGTGTGTGTGTTGGGGCACTAGGGAGTGGGGGTTCTGTGGGGGGTGCTGGGCTGTGAGGGGGCGGGGAAGGTGTGTGTGTTGGGGCACTAGGGAGTGGGGGTTCTGTGGGGGGTGCTGGGCTGTGAGGGGACGGGGAAGGTGTGGGGGTTGGGGCACTAGGG